TTAGGATTATAGGCATGTGCCATCTACCTGAATCTGGGTATTATTACTATGGTTTCCAATGTTTAAAAAATTCACATTTATGGGTATAATATGATAATGCTATCCATGTATACAATGTGTAGTAAGCAAATCAGGGTAATAGTGAAACATTTAGCTCTGTAAAAATTGCATAAGTCCAACTTTTTCTTCTCACTACGTCCAAGAATGAAATCACTGACAAGCAGATGAAGTTAGGAGAGTATTTAGCTTGTGGTTTCTAGGAAGGGATTCTGAAAGGCGAAATTCAAGTGTTTTTGCTTCCTGGTCTTACATGGATTAAGTAGGGTGCAGGGGCTTTGTAGTAGAGACATTCCTTGTTTAAAGAGTGAGTTTAGGTCTTGTGACGGAAGTGTTGAATGAATTGGTTGCTGAATGAGGAACTATATCTAGTATGTACATTACAATATGCAGAATAAAGAAATGGTTAAAGGGAACTCCAACTTGATGACTTTGCTTTTATTTGCATAGCTCTTACATGAAGTACCGTAATATACAACAGAACATAAAACTATGGTACTGTATAGTACAGTACAATCAACAAAAATTACAGTACTGTGTAAATAAGATATACCATCCAGAAAAACTCCCAAGCATTGAGACTCTATAAACAAGAAATACAGAACTATACAAAAAAAGAAAAAGGGGTTCTAAGTCCAAACGGTGGGGTCATAAGTCTGAACAGTCATTAAATATGTGGGCTGTTAAATGAGGAATATCTGTATAGGGTTTTAAAAATCAGTTACTCAACTGACTTAAAGAAGTCAGTGGCACAGTGCTTGCCTGGCAAGCGCAAGATCCTGACATTGGTACAAAAAAAAAAAGTCACTCACAAAATAAGTTCAATGGAAACTAGTTTACATTTGTAATATTCCTCGAAGTCCAGCCTGGAGGTTGGGAGAAGCTAACTTAACAGGTTCTGCTTAAGAAGCTTCTTCCTGGAAAGGGTCTTTATCTGCACATTCTTAACTAACTTTTTTTCCCATTTTTCTGTGTTTGCTTTTATATTTCTAAGCTAAACTAGCTGCATGGCTTGAAATAGCTCTTAATTTGGTGTATATCTGTTTTCTTTTTACCTAGTCACCTCCATCTTAGCCTCCCTATCCTATACCTACTGCCTACTTACAAGATAATTAGCTATACTATTGCATTAGCACTTTTACCTTCTTAAATATTTGTTATCTTTTTTTATTAAAAGCTTTTAAAATCTTCTCTTTGCAAAAAAAAATCTCTCTTCTAGTTTGTTATAAAATATATAATTATTTGTTGTGAAGATAGTCCCCATATATTACTGTAGAATGTTAGAACTTTTTCCTCCTATGTAGCTATATTCAGATACCTGTTATCTAGCATCCCTCTATCTCCTGTCTCCACTGGATAGCATACTGTTTTAAAACATCTACTGTTTTGAAACTGTTTTGAGTAGGGGCTGCAAACATATCTCATTCTAATAGTGTTATGTGGTTGTTATTGTTTAATTGATGTTTGCTAATATCTATCAGCAATTGGGAACTATGATTATTTTATTTTTAAATTTTTATTTATTTACTTTTTTGAGACAGAGTTTTGCTATGCAGTTCAGGCTGGCTTTGAACTCACTTTGTATCCCAGGCTGTCCTCAAATTTGCAGCAATCCTCCTGCCCCACCCTTAGAACTAAGGTTATTTTGAATCAGTTTGTTAACCAGAACTGTATAACAACTTTTCCTTGTTACTATGGTATTTATTTCTGATTGTCATCCTACCATTAGACAATTTCTTTATTAGAGTGACTGGCATTCAGATTACCTAAAGGTACCTGCTAGTAACAAATTTGTCTAAAAGTTACTTCACATCAGCTGGGGGTTTAGCTCAGCGGCATAAGTGCCTGCTTGGCAAACGCGAGGTCATGAGTTCAATCCCCGGTACCAAAAAAAAAATTTTTTTTTTTGCTGAGGATTTAGCTCAGTGGCCTAAGTGCCTGCCTGGCAAGCGCAAGATCATGAGTTCGATCTCTAGTACCACAAAAAAGAAAAAAAAAAAAAAAAGAAAGAAAAAAGAAAATAAAAGTTACTTCACATGAGCCAAATTAACTCTTCTTAAAAAACAAAGTAATTCTACAATCAGCCAGTCCCACAGCAAGGAAAATAGTTTTATCTAAGGCAGTCTAGGATGAAACAGAAGCTGTGTGGATTATGAATGAATATTGACTTCTTTTTTTGTTTTGGTACTGGGGATCAAACTCATAGCCTTGTACTGGCAAGGCAGGCACTTAAACACTGCTGAGCTAAATCCCTGGTTCGAATATTGACTTCAAAACAGAGTAGCTGCTGATAGATTATCATATACTGTTGTTTGGAGATAATTTCACTACAGATGTTGAGAAATAATTTCACTTTAAAAGCTACTTGCTAAATAGACCAGAGTCACAGGATAGTCCTACAGGGATGTGGAATTTGTCTGATCATTAAGTGAATCTCAGTGTTAGAGTAATTTATATCTGTGGATAACTTTCCTTCTGTTCCTTATTGCATTTTGCAGCTGATATTGGAAATAACTTATTAATGCAACACTTTAAATTTTTATTACTAAATTCTTTGGTTTTTGCTTTAGCCCTCTTGAGAGGCTATGTACATGACCTACAAACACATATACACTTTTTATTTGTTCTTTTTAACTCTGAGCATTGCTAAATGTAAGTTTTGGTTTTTTGAAACCCTAAAGGATTTACTTTGCTACTGCTGTACCTTCACTCCTCTCCTCTTCTTTAGTAGAAGATAGAAGTTTTGTATCTGATCTTTAATAGGAGATTTCAGTTTTGGAATAGTTTTTTGAATAATTAGAAAACTTGTACTTCAGTTTTTATTTTGGGAGATGGGAAGAGCTGAGGTTGACCTGAGTATTTGTGTGGTTGTGTGTAGCAGATTGTCTTGTAAGAAATTACTTACCTTGTTCTCTTCTCTCACTTTTATACATGAAAAATTTGACAATAACAGAAAAGTGGAAATGGTGAACGTACAAGTCAATATTTTGTTCTATTTACCTCTGAACTTCTCATCTAGCTATTGCTACCTTTTTTTTAAAGAAGAAATTACTTTTTTTTTTTTTTTTCTTTTTGGAGAAACATATGTTGTTATTATATTGTTTTTAATTCATGAACAGTGTATATATCTCCATTGATATCTTATTTGATTTTATTCCTTAGCCTTTTTAATGTTTTTGCATTATGATCATTTACATGTTTGTTAAATTTATGCACATATATTAACTTAGGATAATATTGTAAATAATATTTAAGTTTTATTTTTCATAAGTTCACTGTTATATAAATACAAGTTTGACTGAGTTATTGATTATTCTATAACCTTGCTGAATTTATTTATTTTAGGAGATTTTGTTTGTTTCACTTTGTTATTGATTTCCTGAGATTTTCAATATAAGCATGATCTTTTTTAAAATTTTATTTTAAAAATAAAAAAACCAATAAAGATACAAAATTTCAAAAACAAGATAATAAGAAATTGACAGTAGTTAATGCATTGCATATTACTATCTTCAAAGTGATGAGAATGAGAGTGGGAAGAAAAGAGAAAGAGACATACAGCTCTAGGTACATGGTAGAAATAAATATAGCAGGTTGGCAAATGAGGGAGTGAGTGTGAATGAATAACTTAAATATAGGTAGGACATGCTTCTAGCTATGGGACACCAAGACACAATGGTGTCTGAAACGTTGCCCTGAGGTGTTCTCTCTTGGATCAAGACTGGAAATCAGAGAAGGTAAATCACTTTGCTAGAGAGAGCCCATATAAAGCCTTCAGTGAAGACTGATAATTTTTAGTTGACGTTTGGTGATATCTACCCGTAGTTTGGAAATAAGGTTATTTTGAATCAGTTTGTTAACTCAAAATATATTATGGGCTTTATAACAGCTTAGTAGAGTGTAGAAGAGGGACTATGAATCTAGACATCTGGGATAGTTTGCATGGGCTTCTTAGAAGAAGGAGAGTTGGATTGAGCGAGGAGGTAAGGAAGAGCCACAGAATACACAGGATTCCGTACCTGAGGCTCTCCATATCTTTGGGAAGTGTCACATTGTAGTAAAGAGCTAGTTTTCCCCTGGAAAACATTCAGGTGACTGGAGAATGAAGTATTCTTACTGTGTTCTTTTTTTTTTTTTTTTTTTTTTTTTTTGTCTTTTTCCTTTTTATCGGTACCGGGGATCGAACTCACGACTGCCTGCTTGCAAGGCAGGCGCTTATGCCGCTGAGCTAAATCCCCAGCCCCTCTTACTGTGTTCTTAAACCCTTGTTTGAGGCAGGACCTATTCATTATTCCCTGAGTATTCCCAGTCCTCCTCACTCCTGAGCTCAGCCCCTGAGGCTTGCTCTCCCTGAATGTACTTCTCCAGGTGTTTGTATTTCTCCAGCTTCCTTCCTGCCTCTGCTCAGTGAGAATTCCCTGATAGTTCTATACGAAGTAGTAGCACCTCCTGGCACACACTAGTCCCTGTGCACTTCCTGCATGTGTTGTTCTTCCTGCCGTGTCTAAAATAGTGCCTGTGATTGTGTGTATGTGTAGTTGTATAGACACCTATGAAGATAGGGAGATGGTGCTTAGGAAACAAGTAATGCAAGAAGGAATGAACAAATGGCATTTCTGAGTTACATAGTTTTTATCGTTGAGACTTTTAAGATACTTTCTTAGGTTAGGGCTGTAGCTCAGTGATAGTTTACTGTTTGTGTAGCCTCAGGTTCAATTATTGGCACCACCAAAAAAAATATTCTTCTCAAAGTAGCCAGGAGAAGACTGCTGGGCAGAGTTGCCAAAACATGTGTAAGGGTAGTGTACTCATAGAGAAGGCTGAGATTTGGTTACAGTTAGCTTGCCTTGCTTAAAAATGCATTTTCAGTATCTTTTTCTTTAAAAGATTTGTGCTCCTAAGTGAAACCTTTGTGATTCCATTGTCTCTTGTCCACCTCCCAGAATACTTGCAGTGGACCATGAGTTGGTAATGCCCACTGAGGACCTCTGGGAGCCATGTCAGACGAATCTGCCTCAGGGAGCGATCCAGACCTGGACCCGGACGTGGAGCTGGAGGATGCGGAAGAGGAGGAGGAGGAGGAGGTGATGGCAGTGGAGGAGCATGACAGGGATGATGAGGAAGACCTACTGGATGGTGAGTAGATTTACTAAGTGACAGACTGCATTATCTTTGTTTCTAATGGAATTTTTTTGTGGGCGAGTTTGATGTTTCTAATTGGATTTTGCAAGTTACCCATAGAGAGGAGGTAGACTGAAAACTCAGTGTCAGTGCACTCATTCCCAGGAAATAGATTGTTGTTCTTACACATAAACCTTGCTTTAGTTCTGGCAGAACTGTTAGCATTTAGCTCATCTTTGACAAGTGTGTATTCTTTGGTACAGAGATTTGAAGGTATAGTATAGTTACCCAGGTCATAGGGATAGATGGCAGAGTTGCTGTGATGAGTATTGTAACCTAGGGTCATGGACTTTTGGGATAAGGTGTAGGGTGACTGTGAGTGGTGTGCGAGTTTTCTGAAACTATATTCACAATTCTGCCTGTGTGTACATAAGAGAACTGTGTAAGGAGAGATTCCCTGGATAGGCTTATAACTCTAGAAAGCTGGCTGCATCTCCTGGAGTGCTGTTGTGCTTCCTGGCCACTTGTGGTGAATCTAAACTCTTGTTGTTGGGAAAGGACTACATCTTTATAGCTGGTAGGCTCCAAACCTATTTGGTTTGTTCATTGTATTTTTCCCCTTACCCCTCTTCTTGAAATGGCATTGAACTTTTTCTTTTTTCTTTTGTACCTCTTCCCACCTTTTTTTTTTGTACTGAGGATCAACATATGACCTTGCACTTACCAGGCAGGCACTTATGCCACTAAGCTAAATCCCCAGCTCCTCTCCACATATTTTTTGAGATAAGGTCTTACTTTGTAAGACCTTGGCTGGCCTTGAACTTGCTGTGTAGCCTAGGCTGGCCTCCTGGCTCAGGCTTCTGAACTTTTTCTGTTAATCTTTAGTCCAACGGTAGGTTATCTGGACCTAGCCATAGGCTTCTGAATTCTGACCTTTCACAGTATAGTATTCAGTTGTTTGTAGTTCTGACTGATGGATATTTTGTCTGTTTATAACAGACTACCTTTCTTAGAACTGAACATTACCATAGGTCATCATTATTGAATTTGAAAAAGCTTAGGAAACTGTGTTCCACTCTAGAGTCACAGAGGGAGATGAGTCCCAATCCTCTTTGCTGCTGCTACTGTCTTCACTTTACATTTATTTGTCCTAACAGCTGCCATACTGGTCAGGAATCAGTTTTCCTGCCTCTCTGGGAAATGATGGTTGCAGTTTTATTTTTCCTTGATGACAAAATACTACCACTGCTAGCTTACTCAGTTTGAATCTCCACGTAGTAGTTTTTATAAAGTAGAATGAGTGAAGGTAATGGAAGACCACGATGCTGTGAAGGTACACTGTCCTGTTTTGCTCTTGTTCCTGAGGAGGTGTCTGCATCTCTATTTGATTTGTATTATTTGGGTTTTCAGAATTATGTTTTAAAATATTCCTAGAATTCTTGTCAGGTTCAGATTGGATTTCAGATGCTGCTGTCAAGTATAACAGATATATACATAGCCATCCTCTCCTTTGTTGTCGTCTTTTTTTTTGGAGACACTTTCACTATGTAGTTCAGGCAGACTTTGAACTCACTGTGTAGCCCAGGTTGGCCTCAAATTCTTGGTTATCCTCCTGCCTCAGCCTTCTGAGTGCTGAGATTACAGAGGTATACCATTACATCTGGCTCCATCCCTATGTTTTAAAATATTTTTCTATTTTTTTCAGCAAACATTAGATTTATTTGTTTTATGTCTGTATGAAGTTAATTATCAAAAACACAGTATAATAGTCAGACTAACACGTAAAGAACATATATGACACGTAAGAAAATTATAGTAAATAAAGGCACAATTTCAGGTATGTCGGCTATATTGGTGTATATTAACTTTCTTTTTAGTTTTCCTACTGTCTGTCTTTTATTTTGCACTTTATTTATATACAGTGTTCTCGTATAAGAGAAGCCATGCTATATTTAAGCTTGTGTATCTGATTTCACTTAACATTATGGTCTTCAGGTGCATCCATTTTCCTATAAATGACTTCATTATCCTTTATGGTAAAGTAGTACTCCATTGTGTATAAATACTACATTTTCTTTTTTTTTTTTTTTTTTTTTTTTTTGGTCTTTTTCTTTTTTATCAGTACTGGGGATCGAACTCACAACTGCCTGCTTGCAAGGCAGGTGCTTATGCCGCTGAGCTAAATCACCAGCCCCTACATTTTCTTTATCCATTCACTGTTGATGGAATTATAAGCTGTTTCCAAGATTTAGCTGCTATAAATTGTGTTGCTATAAATGTGGATATGCATGTGTCACTGTATATTATGTCTTCAGCTCTAAAAGGGGGAATAGCGGGTCAAATAGAATATATATATTTAGCTTTTAAGGAATCTGTATACTGATTTTAATAGTAGCTGTACCAGCTTACATTCCCACTATATTTCTTTTTTCTGGCTTTTTTTTTTTTTTTTGGTAGTACTGGGGATCATACTCATGGTTTTGGACTTGCCAGGCAGGCACTTATATCACTGAGCTAAGTCTCCAGCCCTCCTACTACATTTCTTGAAAGTGATGTTGAATGCTTTTTCTTTTCTTTTCTTTTTCTGTACCGGGGATCGAACTCATAATCTTGCATTTGCCAGGCAGGTGCTTATGCCACTGAGCTAAATTCCCAGCCCCTGAATGCTTTTTCGTGTACAGTAGTTATTGGCTATTTAGACTTTTTTATCTGAAAAGTTTTCATTCATTTTATATGCCCATTTTTAAAATTGGGTCTCTAATTTGGGAGGTCTAAGTCCTTTTCAGCTGTTTTGTTTTGAAACAGGGTCTTAGTATATAGCTTAGGCTGTCTGGGACTCACTGTATAGCCCAGGCTGGCCTCAAACTCTTGGAGATTCTTCTGGTTCAGCCCCTAAATTGCTGGGTTTACAGGAATGTGCTATCATACCTGGCTTGAGTTCTTTATATATTCTAAATATTAGTCTTTGAGGAGTACCTGGCAAAATTTTTTCCCATTCTGGATGTGTGTAACTCACTCTGTTAGTGGTTTCTTTTATAGTGCAGAAGCTTTTTAATTTGATGTGATTTCATTTGTTACTTCTTGGTATTATTTTTCATGCAACCAGGGTTTTATTCAGAAATTCTTTGCCTACATGTATGTCTTCAAGAGTTTTGCCTATTTTGTCTTCCAGCAGATTAAATACTTCAGGTATAATATTTAGATCTTTGATTCACTTTGATTTTAGTTTAGTAGATGATGATAAGTATGGGTCTAGGTTTAATTTTTATCCTGTAGATAGCCAGTTTCCCTGGCACTATTTATTAAACAGGATAATTTTCCTCCCTGGAAAATATTTCCCTTCTTTGTCAAGGATAAGGTAGCTGAGGGTGCCTGGCATTGTTTCTCTTCTGTTCTGTTGATCCACAGGTCAGTTGTTTTGCTAATGCCCTCCAGTTTTTACAGTTTTTACACTGTAACTTTGTAGTGTAACTTAAGTCCAAGATTGTGATGCATCCTGCCTCTCCCTATTGTGCAGAATGGCTTTTGGTACTTTAGGTCTCTTCTGTTTCCATAAGGATTTTAGGATTGTCTTTTCTAGTTCTAGGAAAAATATTACTGATATTTGATTGGGATTGCTTTAAATCTGTGTAACAATTTTAGAATCCATTTTGACTATATTGGTTCTGCTTATCCAGGAATAGGGGGTATCTTTCCATTTTTTTTGGTATTGTCTTTGATCTTTTCAGAGCACTGTAGTTTTGATTGTATAGGTCTTTCTTTATTTCCTCAGGTTAATTCCTAAGTACAGTATTTCATTTTACTTGATGGTATTGTGAAAGGTATTGTCTCCTTACTTTCTCTCTCAGTGAATTTATTATTGGTATACAAGAGTTTTGTTTGTTTGTTTGTTTTGTGAGACATGGTCTTACTATGTAGGGCATGCCGGCCTTGAACTTGCTTATGTAGCCCAGAGTGGCCCTGAACTCACAGTGATCCTCTTGCCTCAGCTTCCAGAGTGCTGGAATTAGAGGCATGCACCAGCATATCTGGCTAACACGGTTAATTTCTGAGTGTTGACTTTGTGTTTTGCTATGTTCCTGAATTTGGTTATTAATACTAGAAGAGTTTGGGATCTTCTATGAAGAGGATCATGTTATCAACAAATAATGATAATTTACATTCCTCCTTTTTAAGGATCATTTTTATACAGTACCATTTCTCTCCAGCTTTAGAGCTGTATAGTCCTTCTCAGCCTTTTTATAGAAATAAAATTGATACAAACTCTTTGTTTTTGGTAACTGGTACTATTTTAGCTCTTATAACTTGTGTATTTCTCTCATCTTAACACTGTGCAGTTTTGCTGAAACCCTCTTTCTTCAGTCTTGCCCCTTCCTGAGCCTTGGATTTTATCATTCCCTAGTTCTAGCACACAGAATAACTCATAGTTCTAAAATGAGGAGTGGCTATGAATAATCTGGTGTTAGCAGTAAAATGTGTTGTGACCTTTTGTTTTCTTAGAGCAATAGTTTTCAACTGGAATGATGTTGCCTTTCAGGACCATTGATAATGTGATGACTTTTGGTTGTTAGGGTTCCTGGGGGTGGAGATGGGGATGCTACTGCTATCTTTCAGCCAAGGATGCTGCTGAACAGTCCTGACACCAACCCCAACAATTATCTAGTGCACATGTCAGTTATACTAAGATGTGAGAAACCCTTTCAAAAAGGAAACTATTGCTTCCATTCTTTGTATTTGAAATTTCATCTCTAGTGGGTAACAGTAGCTTACTTTTATATTGTTTTTTAGGTTGCACGAATATTTGGACAGTAGTATTCTTTTCAAAGAACTGTGGATTTGCTTTGGTGATTTCCAGATCACCAAAGAATTGTTTGTTAGATTTGGTGTTATGTTTGTCTTCTTTGTAGTTTTTACTTTATAAATTCCTTCTTTCTGTATCTTTTAGATTTCTTTTGGCTCTCTTTCAAACTTCCTAAGAATATGCATAGCTCTTTGATAGCTGGACGCGTGGTGAT